TCACCCAGGCTGGACTTAAAGTAGTTAGATTTATCAATGTTTTATTTTATGGCTTATGCTTTTAAGAAAATTTTCCCTATTCAGATGTCATAAAATTATTTTCCTATATTTTCTTCCAAAAGTTTGAAAGATTTGCCTTTCATATTTCAGCATTTTATTCACCTAAAATTGTTTTTTTTGTGTGTGTGTATGATCTGAGGTAGAAACCAAGTTTAAGTGTTTTTCTCACACAGATCATTGTATTAGTTTCCTATGGCTGCTGTTACTAATTACCACCAACCTAGCAGGTTAAAACAACATAAATTTATTATCTTACAGTTATGGAAGCTAGAAGTCTGAAATAGTTTTCACCGGGCTAAAATCAAGGTATCAGTAGAGCTGCACTCCTGGGGAGAATTTTCAAGTTTTTTTTTTTTTTTTTCCAAATTCTATAGGGTGCTGGCTTATGGCCCCATTTCATATTGAAAACCAGCAGTCAGCCAAGCTTGGTGGCTCATGCCAGTAATCCCAGCACTTTGGGAGGCCAGGGTGGGCCTTGAGTCCAGGAGTTCCAGACCAACCTGGGAAACATGGTAAGATCTAATTTCTACAAAAAAAAAAAAAAAAAAAAAAAAAAAATTAGCTGGCATACAGCTGTAGTCTTATTTACTCAGGAGGCTGAGGCAGGAAGATAATTTGAACCTGGAAGGTCCAGGGTGCAGTGAGATCCTATCTCAGAACAAAAAAAAAAAGTAGCAGTTTGTATCCTTGCATGGCATCACTCCGACACTGAACTTCTGCTTCCCTTTTTCACATATAAGGTCCCTGTGATTACAGTGAGCCCACAAAGGTAAACTAGAATAATCTTCCTACTTCAATATCCTTAAATTAGTCACATTAAAATTCTTTAGGCCATGTAAGGTAACATGCCCATATGTTCAGGGGATTAGGATGTGGACATCTTTGGGGAAACATTATTTTGCCTCCCATTGTAATCAATTGATTCAGCACAACTTCTTGACTCTGTTCTGAACCTAGGTTCAGAAGAACACTGGTCTGGTGGCAATAATAATAGTAACACTTGTGTCAAGAATGTTTCTAAGCATTGTATGCATATTCTCATTTAATTTTCACAACACTTTGCAGTAAGTACTACTATTATTCCTAACTTAGAGATGAATAAAGTGAGCAACAGAGAGGTTAAATACTTTGCTAAGGATAGGAAGCAGCAGCGCTTGACTCAAACCCAAGTACCTGAGCTTCAAAGTCCATGTGCTTACTTAGCACCACGCTATTTTATTTTTTGACAGGGTCTCATTCTGTTGTTCAGGCAGGAGCGTAGTGATGCAATCTCTACCTCCTGGGCTCCAGCGATCCTCCTGCCTCAGCTTCCCAAGTAGCTGTGACTACAGGTGTGCAACCACCATACCTAGCACATTTTGTTTATTTTTTGTAGAGAGGCTGTATTGCCAGGGTTGGTCTTGAGCCCCTGGGCTCAAGCGATCCTCCCACTTCAGCCTCCCTAGTAGCTGTGAGTACAGGTGTATGCTGCCATGCCCAGCTAATTTTTGTATTTTTTGTAAAGATGAGGTTTCACTAAGTTGCCCAGGCTGGTCTTGAACTCCTGAGCTCAAGCAATCCACTTGCCTCAGCCTCCTAAAGCGTTGAGATTGCAGGCGTGAGACACTGCGCCCAGCCTATCCGCTATTTTTAAATGAATAAACAAAGTGGATAAATCTAGTTTCCCTTAGCTGTGTGTTCATGACTAAGTCACATAAATTCTCTGAGCTTCAATTTCATTATTTGTAAAATTAGAATAGTGATGCAGCTTTTCTGCACTCCACGGGGATGCTGTGAGGGCACGTTGAGACAACATGCAGGAAAGCAGTTCAGATAAGGAAAATAGAGCTCCAAGAGTCATTCTGCCACATGTCACTGGCATAGCCAAGACTGGGACTCAGGTTTCCTGGCAGCCAGGCTGGGCAGGCTACTTCCACTACACAGTGGTAATTAGAGCAGTTACAGATTCCAGTCATCAAACTGAACATTTTCCCTTCATCAACCTCCTGCCCTGTAACGGCCAACATTAAAGATACATCTGTATATTCAATCAATCCTTCATTAAGAACGTCCTCCAGTTTTAGATGATACTGTTACAAAATCCAAATGTGAGATACTACTTCTTCGCTGGAACAGGGTAAAGCTGACAGGTAATATTTTGTATCATTTACAAATCAAAAGACAGAGAATTTCAGAAATTGACAGAAAAGGGGCCTGTAAGATATTTGCTTAGGAAAACCACCTTGTCATGTGTTTGCTTCTTCTCTATCCTCATCCCACCATATTTCTGTGCCCTTCTAATTCACTTCTCCTTAGTAAAGTAGGGATTAGAAAACCCGAATTTTAGCTGTGGGCATCATTACTGACCATTTTGCTTTGAACTTCAAAGGCAAAATTGAAAATAAAACAGGCAGGAATGGGAGATTCACTCTACCAGATCTTAGGATATATAATTAAGCCATAGCAATAAAATCAGCACAGCAGTAACATAGGAACAGATCTGGATCAATAGAATAGCAACAAGAGCTCAGAGACAGACATGTGTGTCTCTAGGGACTTGGTATATGATACAGATGCCATTACATGTGGATGGGAAAAGATGGATGGTTTGGCGGGTGCTGCTAGGAAAACTGGCTCACTAAATAGAGTTAATAATAATACTGTATTCCTGACCACACTGTATGTAAGGTGAACCCCAGATGGATTAAGACCTGTGATAGGTAAAAGTATGAAGCCAAATAGAGGAAAATGTAGAAGAATATTTTGTGACTAATAGGTGGGAAGAGATTCCTAAACAAGATTAAAAAGCACACTCCACAAGGCTAAAATTTGATGCATTAGGCTAAATGAAAATTAAGGATTTCTCCTCAGTGGTAACATAGAGAAAACCAAGCTAACAGGATGCATGAAAGGTTGAGAGAAATATTTGCAATGTTTGTCTAAAGCTGACAAAAGATTAATATTTAGAACACATAAGAAACTCAACTCCTCCAATTCCTTCACACACACAAAAAAATAAATAAAATCCAGCAGCAAAGTAGGTAAAGGATGTAAACAGATAATCACAGAAGGAAAACAACCCCAATGGTTCTTAAGTATATGGAAACATGGTTAACACCACCAATAAAATAAATACAAATCGAAATTACAATGTGATACTACTTTACTGATTTCAGATTGACATAAATTAGGACATCAGATAACGCCAAATGTTATCAGATAAAATGGGAAACGGGTATCTTCCTACCTTCATGTGCCATTGGTGTGGGTGTGTCTGCAAAGCCATCTGGAGGGCAACATGACAGAGTGAAGCCAAGCTCTGTGGACCTCATGACCCAGCGACTCGATTTCTTATGTTCTGTAAGGGACACGTCTAACACCCATTTCAGCGTGGTCTGTGTAGCAAGGAACTGCTGGCGGCCTCACTGTCCGCTATCTGAGGAATTGGTAAGTAGAATATATTAGACACAGAAACCAAATACTATATTATTGGTCATAATTAATGAACTCGTTGTATAGTGTCACATGGATAGATCTTCTAAGACAGAAAAAACAAGGAACAGAATGAGTTCTCATCACAGCGCCATTCACGTATGTTAAAAACAGACACAAACCATGTATCTTTTGAGGCTGTATACAGTGCAGGAACTGGGACATACCTTAATTAAGAAGAGGGCGCATATGGCGGGAAGAAGAATGGGTGTGGAGGAATGAGTGGAAAATAAAAACAAAAAAGGGGCCTTGCTGACTGACGAGCCGAAGGGTATCAACATAACTTGTTCCCGAGGTCTAAAACAGTAGCCCCAATCCCCCTTCCATCGCTTCCCATTCTTAACAGAACCAAGTGCAAGGGACTCAACGTGGCTGTCCAGAGCAGGGCTTTTCCCCAGCGAGGACCTAGGTCCTATTCCTCTTCCACCCACCTCGCCAAGTCCTGGATGCCAGAGCCCCGAGCTCTACTTTGACTGCACTTCTCAAACCCAACCAAACACACCCAGGCTTCAACCCAGACGGGCTTGCTCTAATTATTTATTTCTTTTTTTTTTTTTGAGACGGAGTTTCGCTCTTGTTACCCAGGCTGGAGTGCAATGGCGCGATCTCGGCTCACCGCAACCTCCGCCTCCTGGGTTCAGGCAATTCTCCTGCCTCAGCCTCCTGAGTAGCTGGGATTACAGGCACGCATCACCATGCCCAGATAATTTTTTGTATTTTTAGTAGAGACGGGGTTTCACCATGTTGACCAGGATGGTCTCGATCTCTCGACCTCGTGATCCACCCGCCTCGGCCTCCCAAAGTGCTGGGATTACAGGCTTGAGCCACCGCGCCCGGCCTAATTATTTCACTTAGGAAATCCTTATCGGTCGCTAAGATTCAGTTTAAATGACTCTGCTCCAGGAGGCCTTTTCCGAATGCTGCCCTTGCCCAAAAGCTAGCCCTCCCCTCTCAGCCGGGCACCCCATGTCCTAACTGCTTATTTGGGGCACTTAGCCCTCCTCCAGGGTTGGAGCTGTGCCGAGCGCGGGGTCTAGGTCCGCTGCCCGCCAGCTGGGGTGGGCGGTCCTGGGAATAACTGGACAGTTAAGTCAGCAGGTGCAGCCGCAGCCCGGTCAGCTCCCTCTCCTCGGCTTCCGCTCTCATTGGCTCAGCCTACCCGCCCCCAGCCCCCGCCCCCAGCCCGCCTCTGCCGGCTGCGGGAGGCAAAAGGCTCTGCGCACGCGCCGCGGGGTGGGGCGCCCTCGGTTGGGGGCGTACGGGGGTTAAGGAGGGGGGCGGGGAGCGGGCGCAGAGGGGTGGCGGAGCTGCCGCGTAGCTGCGCGGCAGTTGCGTCCGGCCGCGTGTGCGCGGCGCCCGGGAGGGGGCGGGGCCGAGGAGGGCAAGGCGGCGGGCACCCGCCCCTGGCCCCGCCCCCGCAGCGCGCCCGCGCGCCTTGCCCCGCCCCCTCGCAGGGCCCGCCCCGCCCCCTCGCCGGGCTGCGCTCGTGCTCCCGCAGCCCGCCAGCCTCACGCTCGGCTCCTGCGGCCGAAAGCGGCAGAAAGTCCTGCTGGTGGGCGGCCGCGGGGCTGAGCGCGTCCGGCATCCCGGGGCCGCTCCGGCCCTGGCGGCGAAGGTGCCCGGCGGTCCATGCATCCGCCGCCGCTCGCCGCCGCGATGGATTTCAGTCAGAACAGCCTGTTCGGTTACATGGAGGACCTGCAGGAGCTCACCATCATCGAGAGGCCGGTCCGCCGGAGCCTCAAGGTGCGCCCCGGGAGAAGACCTGCCCTCAGGGCGTCCGGCCGCCTTCCTCGCGCGGCCCCGCGCCGGCCTCCGCCCCACCCCGCCACCCTCCCCTCCTCCGGGCGGCCGGGACCCTCTCAGTCAGACCGGCCCCTCTGTCCTCCGGTCCCTGTGGCCCTAAGCCAGCTCCTCCCGGACCCTTCCTCGGAGCGGACTCGGCCCTCTCAGTCTGGAGCCCCGTCCCCAAGAGACGGGTCCCTGTCCCAGCCCTGACCGGGCGCCGGCCCCGCAGCCCTTGCCCCTCCCGAGGCGTCCGAATCCCCCCGTCCCACCCCCAGGAACGGCCGAGCCCCAGCCCTCGGGGCAGCCCCGGCGTCCTCAGTCGCGGGCCCCCTTCCTTCCGCCCCCCGCCCCCGCGGGAGCTGCCCCTCGAGGCCGCAGCCCACTCCTCCCCGGTCCTCTCCTGGGCTCCCCGACCCCTGGTCCGCTGACGACGCCCGGGTTCTGGCCCCAGGCCCACCCCTCGGTCCACACCGCTCCTGCTCCTCCCCCCACCTCCCCGGGCGACCCCACCCGCGTCCCATCCCCTCACCCCCAGCCCACCAAGTCAGATCAAGCTCGGGTCCCCTTGCCTTCGAGGCAGCCCGGCCTCCCCTCGCCTCCCAGCTGGCACCCTTTCTCAGTGTCGTCCTGGTTCCGGTCTTCAAAGCCCTCCGATCCTTTGCCGCCATCCTGAGTCACCGCGCATCCTTTCCTCCCAGCCCCTCCAGGACTCTAGCTGGGACCCTGCTCCCCAGCCCCTTTGAGGGAGTCAACCTTCAGCTTGTTCCCCCCGCCCCCACTGGCTCCCCCACCCCGCAGAGTCATCTTCCTCCGGGAGGTACCTGCCCTTAGCGCAGGCAAACCTAGTTTACGGACCCCCTTTCTCCTGACCTTCGCTTAATAAGCTGCTTTAGCTCGTCTAACTCCCACCTGCAGCAATATCTCAAATCTCTGGTTTACTTCCAGCCCCCGAGTTTATTTTCTTCCCTCCCCCACTCCAGATCTTGTCCTTTTCATGCCCACTCGTCTGCAGTCTTCATACCCCTTTTAGCATTTCGTGGGGTGGAAAACGCTGGAGAAATAGCCTTGAGGTCTTAGAGATAAAAAGTGTGTGTATTTATTCGTTTTATAACATGCGTATGAAATGGATTTCAGCCAAGGTTCTGAAGCCACGATGTGATTCTCAAGCTGCAATCTAGAAGCTAGAAGAAGAAAAACAGAAAAAAACAGTCCCCTCCCAAACTCGGCCACCCAGTTAGAGACCTCCGTGATTGATGTCGCCCGGTATCCTCAGCTCCTTGATTAGTTTTCATTGTTAATGCTTAATTGTGAAACTTTTTCATTAGTTTATCCTGATAGAGGTTCACTGGGAGGTTGCGGGGCAAGACTGACCCAAGGTTTGTGGTGCATAATGTGTATTTTACCCTTGACAGACACCAGAAGAAATAGAAAGATTGACAGTTGATGAAGACCTCAGTGATATTGAAAGGGCTGTTTATCTGCTCAGGTATTTCCTAATCATTCTGTGAAATTGCTCTTTTTTCCCCCCTGTGGCAGCATAGATGAATGCTTTCTGAAATGTATGTCCCCGTTATGTTCAGATTTACTTAGCCACTTGAACAGAGTACTTTTGTGTGCATAGTACTTAACTGTATTATAAATTATATTTGGCTATGGACTTACGAATTTGAGAACCCAAATAAAATACGTAATTTATAGAATGTTGCTTGAAGGAGGAACAGCAGATGGTTTGAGTTGAACCTCATTTTTTTTTTTTTTTCTTTTCTGGCTTTGGTCTTTCTCATGTAAGATTCAGTAAGTTTAGATGAGACGAGTACACAGTGATTAAAGTTCATTGTAGAGTATGAACATTATATGGGATCTACTATATGGAAAAAATCCACAAATGTGATAGTTAATTTTGCTGTTCACAATGTCCTGTTTGTATTACTTTTGCTATGCAAGCTTTATGATTTTGTCTGAGGGGTTTTAGAAACTTAGTTGGGCCTACTGTCGCTTAAACTTCAAACCATCTCACAGGCTCTACAGAATTGCTTAAGGCAAATAGTTACTGCAAATATTTACAAGATTTTTCGGAACTATTTAAAACATTGCCTTGTAGACTGAGCATCTTAAAAACTAATGCAGTGAACATTAATGATGTTTTAACTAATTGATGAAAATCCTTTAGAAACAGAAATTTCCTACAGCATTTTGTGTATATTTATGTAAAAATTTTTCACTAGCTTACACAGCATTTTTTTCCCTTTTGGCAAATTAGTCTTCACTTTCTCGTTTTCCAGAATCAGATTTTGAAAGCTGATGTTATTTACCTCCTAGGATATTTGTTGTCCTTGTTTCTTTAGCTCAGCGCCAGTTTCAGGTACTGGCAAGTCTCTTGTTCTCCTTTCTTGTTAATAGATCATGTTTCCAGTCCCGTGTTATTTGCTGAATGATCCTTTGAAAAAAAAAATCCCTCTCCAGGTCTTCAATTTTCTTAATTACTTTTTTAGTCTACTAAAAGTGGCATCATGAGTTTCTGTTCTAACTTTAGTCAGAATATCAGCATATCTACCATGTAGACCATTTCCTCCGATAATTGTATCATTTAGAAATGTTTCTGCATCTTAGACTTTATGTTGATGTTGTTTTCCCCCATCTTTGGGGTGTCTGTGGTAGCATGCTCTCATCATTTGTACCTATTTACTTAAAAGAAAACTTCTATTTATGTGTGAATTCAACAGTATATGTTTTGGGTGTTTACTGAGAGAATAATTCAACTTTTAATCCATTTTCATATTTTATTTTGTTATATTTAGAATACTTTATTCCTTAATAATGACCATGTTTATTACGGTGAACAGTAGTTGTCAACATTTGCCTTTTTCCACAGTTCTTTTACTCAAAGTAGATAGAAAATTGAGAAAGTGTGGATAAATGTGTTTTAATCTACAACAGTAAGCTCCTGTTTATTCCTACTGAATTCTTTTCTTTAGTATAAAAACTGGGTTAGAATTAGGAAATGGAGAGTCTTGCTCTATTTACTTGTGATAGAAGACACCATATTCTAGATATCAGTGATAAGATTTCTTTTTTAGGAAAGCTGATTTGTTTTCCATTTTGCTTTTATTGTTTGTTAGCAAACCAGGATGTCTGAGTTGTCTTTATTTCTCACACTCAACATAAGTTTCGCTCAGTTCTGGAATTTACAAAGCCCTTATAGAGACAGATGGGCCCTCTTATTCTTAGACAAGAGAGTTTTAAAAGAGATTCAATATCTCCTTTAGTTTCTTGTGGCTCATCTAACTTGAAGGAGGTTTGTAAGGTGGCTCAGAAGGAAAACACTAGTTTGGTTGTGTATGGGTTCTTCAACTGAGCTCTTCTTTTGTATCCCTACCATCTTACCACCTCCTGGGGGAATGTGGGGTTTCACCTTAGTTCAGCTTAGGGAGGAATAATGCCAGGAATGCCTGAAAGGGTCTTTCTTCCTTGGGATTCAGGGGAGGGGACAGGATTGTTTCATAGAGATGTTCCAAACTTTGCCTCTGTTTAGGCCTTCTCATCTTCTCTCATGTACTGAGCCTGCTATTGTAAATGCAATTTATTCATTTTTTTTTTTAAATTTGTACTTTGCTGAGTCCGTTTTTCCCCTCTGTCAGTGATTTTCAGTTTTATTTTTGAGCATATTACCTTTCCTCTACATTGAATAATACATAATGTGTAAAATAGTATATATATATATTTGCTCTCTGCTTTTATGTGTCATTTGTTTCTTTAGTTCTTTTATTTTGTATATGAAAACTGTTTGGGAGTATTATGTTAAAATTAGAATTCAAAGTCATATTTGTCTTTGTCCACCTTAGTGGAGGTTCCGATAGCATTTTTATTGACTCCAATATCTTAAAAAAGCTTTATTTACAGACTACTGTAATCGGTAAGAAACAAATTACATTGTTTATTGCCTTACCCTGAAATATGACAGGTCAGTTATTAATAACATTTTCACAATTAAGTTTAGAATATTACAGTCTTCAAAGATTTAACACAGATGAATTTGTGGTTTTGCATGCGTATGATACTGATACACCCATCTGTGGCATTTAGCACTGAAGCAAAACAACTTTCCTAATAGTCACAGCTTGTGTCTTAGAGAATCATATCACATCTTTTTCTTGTTCATTCTCTTCTTTGTGATTTTGCATATATTTTTGGAATGTACTTAAAACATGTGAATGATTTTGTTATAGAAGAATCTTAAGTATGTGTACTGTGCTTTCTTTAGGTAAATCTTTACTTGTATATCTCTAGTTGCCTACCAGATAAAGTGTAGACCCTGAAGCCAGGCATTCAGAATACTCCGTAAGTGACTCTGTTTTAGCTGTGCAGTGTGATATCCCACCAGTCCCTCACTTTTAAAACTAACTTTATTGAGATATAATTCATAGTTCGTATAGTTCACCCATTTAAACTGTGTAGTTAAGTGGGTTTTATTATATTCACAGAATTGTGCAACCATCACTGCAATCAATTTTAGAACATTTTTGTCATCCTCAAAAGAAACCTTGTACTATTAGCAGTTACTCCTCACTTCGCAACCCTCTCAGCCTTTGGGAACCACTATTCTGCTTTCCATCTCTGTGGATTTGCTTATTCTGGACATTCCTAAACATGGAATCATACAGTATGTGGCCTTTTGTGACTGACTTCTTTCACTTAGCATAATGCTTTCAAGGTTCATCCATGTTGTAGCAGATATCAGTGCTTTATTCCTTTTTATTGCAGTGTAGTATTCTACTGCATGGATATAGCACTTTTGTTTAGCCATTCATCAGTTGATGGATACTGGGTTGTTTCCTCTTATTCTTTCACTTTTTTGATGCAGTCATGCTGGCCTTTTCACTGTTACTCAGCTTCACTGTATTTATCCTTAACTTTTGCTTTTCCCCATCCTGGAGTACTTTTTCATTATATCCTTACCCAACATATACCATCTCTGGGATCCAACTGTAATTGTACATCTTTCATAAAGTCTTCCCTAACATCTTAAACCATATGGATCCCAGGATTCTTTGAGCTCCTTTATCACTTAGTGGCGGCTTTCATCAATTGGCTGTGAATCATCGATTTATTTATATTCCTGAACGATGAGTGCATGTTTTCTTCAGTAGATTGTAGGTCCTGGAGGACAAGCTTTCAGAGGACAAGGGCAAGTTTTCTTGTTATTCTTTCTTGTTCTTTGGTGTGATATACCTCTTATTTTTTAGATGGGTTGTAAGGGAATTCCCTTATGAATAAAGTTCATGATAAAGGCTAAAATATATATATATATATATATATATATATATATATATATATATATATACATACACACACACACATATACTTAATGGAATAAAGGGTATCTAAGATGACTATACTGCCAGATGAATTAAGCAATTTCTGATATTTTTGGTTTTGGGTATTATGGGTTATATCTTGTTCTACAATTTATTATCTATGTGATGATAGTCAAGTTATTTATGGTTTTCAAGCCCTGTTTTTCATTCGTAAAGTGGAAATAATTCCTTTTCCCAGAGTGGTTGAAGCACCTGGCACTAATTTTCATTAGTGTCAACTCCCTTCTGTCTCTTTTTCTTTTTCCCTACTTCCTTGCTACTTAGGTGCTCTAGTTACATTTAAAACTTTAAAAGAGGATAATGGTATTAATTTAGCCTTCCAATAATTGAATAAACAGACAAAGTATACCAGCTGAAGTTTGTGATAGATATCCATTAACTTCCTTTGCTAATAGTATTTATCAGAAATTAGAATCTTCACAAATTATAATTAAGCATTTTTAACTAAGTAATAGTAAAGTCAGCCTGTTGATATATATATTTTTACCAAATGACCTTAAGTAATATTTGCTATTGTGCATTAAATGTGTTGATTGGTTAATGTACTGAGTTTAGCTTTTATGTTGCTTACTTTTAAAGTCATTTGTGACTTTAAAAATATTTTTTACTTTGTGCTGTGAGTTTTAAAGCATTTTGCACTTTTCTTTCCAGGGACAGTCAGATAAAGGGCTTTACTTTGTTTTTCTTTTCTTTTTTAGAGACAGGATGTCACTATGTTTCCCAGGCTGGAGTGTGGTGGCTATTCACATATATAGTCATAGTGCTTTAACTCCTGGGCTAAAATGATCCTCCTACCTCAACTTTCTACAGCTTCTAATACCTGGGCTAAAATGATCCTCCCACCTCAGCTTTCTGAATAGCTAGGACTACAGAAGGCACACACCCTCTCCACAGCCACTGCCCCTATCATAAAGTGCATCTTTAATTTTAACTTTTTTTTCCCTTTCTCTTCCCATTATTTAAAGAGTAAGTGCTCCCCCTAGTGATATGAAAGAGTGAGATTTCTGCAGCCAAATCAGTGGAAATAAACAAGTATTGTACATATGAAACTCTGGTGTACTTCTTGGGTTCAAGACTAGGATAGGGTAGCAATAAGACAGTGAGGAAGAAC